TTGGCCACCAGAGGCACTGGCATCCTAAAGAGCATCCTAAGGCCTTCCAGAGTCCAGACACCTGGATGTCAGGTTCCCTGTGAGCAGTGAGCTTGAAAACAAAGCAAAACAAATGTCCCTGCTTATTGCAGGGGGGTGGACTAGATGATCTTTGGACGTCCCTTCCAACCCAACCCAACCCAACCCAACCCAACCCAACATTCCAGTTTATTCCATTCCATTCCATCCCATTCCATTAACTCCTCCCTTAAAATAAACCCACTACAGAAGTTGCCTCCCTGACTCCTCTGCTTCAGATTTGATTTTCTTTTTTTTTTTCTAATTTTTTATTTCTCTCCCTTCTCATTCCCCCTGGAGAAACGATTTGAGGGATGGCTGCTGTCTTTCCTGCTGCTCTGCTGCTCCTGCCAACAGCCAGAGAGTTCTCACACAGCTCCTTTAATGGCCCAGGAACACAGAGAGGGAACAGCAGTGCTGCTTCCCAGATAACACAGTGCTCCCAAAGGGAGCCTGGGTGCTGTTCCTCTGCAGATCCCACTGCCCAGGGAAGTGAGGGCCAGAAGGCACCACTGCAGCAGAGCTGCTCCTTTCTCATGGGAGGTGGATCTATGAGTTTTGTGCTGGATTCCCGTGTGGTCCCCGTGGGACACGAGAGGGGATGGGGGTTTGAGGATGCTGAGCTGGGTGAGGAGCTGGGATGAAGTTCAGTGCAGACCATGAGGGGCAAAAATGTCGAGTCATTTGGGATCCTGGTGGGGCTTTGCTGCCAGCAGGGTGTAATCAGAGCCTGGCAAGCAGTTTTCCTAAGGGTTGGTGGGACGAGCTGCAGGGAAAAGGGCCAGAGCGGTGTCGTTTCAAAGAGAGTGGGCAAAACGTAATCATACACTGGGAGGACTAATCCCGGATTATCATCAGGGGTTGGGAGGGATAAACCATATCTGAGCTCACAGCTTTCATCCCCCAGGGCTGGCAGAGCAATCGCAGCCGCCCCGGGGTGTGAGAGCAGAGGGAGGGCGAGGAGGGCAGGGCTGCCAAGGGCACGGGGGGAGCCCCACTCCAGCCAGAGCCCCTTTGTCCGGGGTCCTGTGCTGGTCCATCCCCGTCCCAGGCCCTTTATCCCTTTGGATCCCCTGCAGCAGCGGCTCCATCCCCTCTCATGGCCGGCTCCGTGACCGGCCGGCGCTGCTCCGCTCCTTATCTTTTTGGCTTCTCTCCTGAAGTACAAATTGACCTCTCAGAATTTTCTCCTTTAATGCCCTTGTTCTAAAATGTTAATAACTGGTCAGTGACAGGCTGATTAAGCCTTCCTTCCTCCCTTATTTAGATTGGTGTCGCTGCACCGGCTCTAACGGAGCCGTAAAGAACATTAACACCCGCTCGGCACTGACAGCGCCGACTATTCCCTGGGAATTGATAAGGGCTTCTTCTGGAAATGAATTTGGCTCCGGCAAAACAAACGGATGCCTCGAGCTCCATCCATCTCCCTTCCTTTAATAACTTTCGTTTGTTGGGCGCTATCTCCAGCACCAATTAATGTAACAGATGCCCTTTGTCCCAGCAGGGGTTTTTGCAGGAGTGGGGCGGCTTTAACTCCCTTCCCTCCCCTCCCTCCCCTCCCCTCCTGTCACCTCTGGGCTCAGGGGTGAGGTTTTTCTCCCCACATGTCCCCAGGCAGGGGCTGAGTGGCCTAAAATAACATTCTTTTTTGCAGCATCGTGTCTGGGTCCATCCCTATGTTCATACCCACATCTGCACACAGGTCTGGTCTATATGTAAATCTGGATCTTTATCAATACCTATTTCTATAGATCTGTATCTGTATCTTTACCTATACCTGTGTCTATCTCTATCACCCATATACCTACATTTATATCATCTATATCCATATCCACATTCCATTTTGTATCAATTACATCTGTATCAATATCCATATCCATTTAATCTGTAGCAATATTTACATTCTTATCACCTATATCCATATCTTCCTTATCCATATCATCTCTGTGTCTGCATCTGTAGCTACATCCATGTCACTCACGTCCATATCCATATGATTTGTGTCCATATCCATAAAGTCTGTCTCTATATCCATATGTATCTATATCCATACAATCTGTATCTATAGCTGTGCCTGTATCTATA